CTACTTCCGTAGTGCCACTGCCTCGTAAACCCAAGGAGGGGTCACTAGGAGTCGGGTCTGACTCGACAGCACATAATAACAACATACTCAAAATCAAGAGTGTTAAATCTAAATAGAACTAACCACTCACTCTTCTCTTTCTGTTTTACTGCTCACCTACCTGTGTTAATTAAATTAGAATATTTTATCATTTATCAGAAATGTAATATATTTGCCTAAAAAAAAGAGTAGTAATTTTAAATAATTTAAACAATAATCATTGACATATATAATAAACCCACAATAACCAACCATACCTCTACTTTTTCTCAAAACAGTAACTTACTTTTTATCTGAAATCAGCATTCACCCATGTTGGTGCATCTATGAAAACTTCATTCCTTTTTAGTGAATAATATTCCATTGTATGAATGCATCACATTTAGTCTATCTGTTTCTCTACTAAACACTTTGGTTGTTTCCACATTTTGGCTGTTGTGAACATTGGTTTACAGGTATCTATTGCTAATCAGATTGCTATTTCAGGTTTGCATTAACTCTATTCATTTTCCCCAGTCTCCAATAAAAATAAATTAACTATCACTAGTGCAAGTACCATGTTTTTCTTTCAAGCTTCTAACAGCTGTGGTGGTGAAGTTTGTGCGTCATTTTGGCTGGGCCTGGTTGAGTGGCTGGTCAGCTGAATGTAGTATTCTCCATGATGAGACTGGTAATCAGTTCCATGGTAGAATCTCCTGTGAGCAGCTAAGTAGCTGCCTTATGGATGTGGTCTGCTTCCTGTATATAAGTAGAACTCTTGGGGAACATTCTCTATAATGGCACGCTTGAACCCTTCATGCAGCTGTGTCACTGTTCAGCAGCCTGCCATGCTGTGCCGACCTTGGGACTTACAATGGACTTAAATTAATGGCCTGCCGTGTGGTTTGGTAACATGGGGACTGTGCCTTTTTACTTGTTAACCTTGGATTTGTCAGTCTCCGCAGCTAGCAGCTGTCTGAGTGAAGAAACACCTCTAGCTCCAGTGGGCCAGGAACAGGAGGCAGAGCTGACCTCAAGGTTGAGGCCTTTCACCTAGCCCCTACAGCTTGGCACTTTGAACTTGGACTTAAAGCCTCCAAACTGTGAGAAAATAAACTCCTGTTTGTTAAAGCTATCCCATTTGTGGTATGTTCTTGTCAGAGTGGCACTAGGTAACCAGAACATTGCCCAAACTTCCTTCCAAGTGGCTGGTGCGTTTGAACTGCCAGCCTTCGTGTTAGCAGTCATGCCTTAGGTACTACACTACCAGCACTAGGTAACCAACATAGAATATGGTACCAAGAGAATGGGGTGCTGCTCTGATAGATACCTAAAATGTGAAAATAGGAATGGAGTACATTTTTGACCCAACACCTTGGCAGAGAGACCCTGGCATACAGCATGAGAGACGGCAGAAGCAGAGCCCAGAGACCAGCATGACACAGGAGAAGAGCCCAGAGACCAGCATCAGAAAGCAATAGCCTTACCAGCCCACGGAGGAGAAAGTTGGATGCCAACATGCAGGAGACTTTCTGGTGGAATGGGTTGCCTTCAGGCGTTAACTGGTAAAAAAAGAATGGCTTGAAATGGAATAGCAGGTTGGCCGGCCCAGGGAGCAAGAAAGCTGAGTGTCTGGGGGCAGGGAGATTTCCAGCTGGGCCTGGCTGAGTGGCTAGGCAGCTGATTGTAGTTATTCCTCATGGTGGGACTGGTAATTAACTCCATGGGGGAATGTACTGGAGCTGAGTAGTTGCTTTAGGGATGTGGTCTGCTTCCCGTACATAAGAAATGGCTTTGGGAATGGTCTCTCTAGCTTATGGCATGCTTGAACCCTGCATGTAGCTGTGTCATCGTTCAGCAGCCTGCCATGCTCTGACGACCTTGGGACTTTCAATGGACTTGAATTAATGGCCTGCTGTGTGGTTTGGTAACATCAGGACTGTGCCTTTTTACTTGTCAACCTTGGGCTTGTCAGTCTCAGCAGCCAGCAGCAGTCTGAGTGAAGAAAAGCCTCTAGCTGCAGTGGGCTGGGAGCAGAAGGCAGAGATGAAGCTCAAGGTTGAAGGGCTTTCACCTAGCCCCTAGAGCCTGGCACTTTGAACTCAGACTTAAAGCCTCCAAACTGTAAGAGAATAAACTCCTGTTTGTTCACCCATCCCATTTGTGGCTTATTTCTGTTAGAGCGGTACTAGGTAACCAGAACAACCCCTCTCCCTCCAGAAGTAACTTAGGTCTTTGGATTGTCAAGAATATTTTTCATGTCTTTGTTTGATTACAGTTATTAATTTATATTCTTTCCCTGTAAATACTCATCAGCGGAGCTCCTTTTTTTAACTATAGGAGCATATCTTAATCATTTTAAAAAATTTTACCACATTGCTTAATGAAATAATTTTCCCTAAAAAAGCACAAAATACACATCTGGTGATTATAAGCTAATTTACAACTGAGAAAGAATAGTCTGAAATATACTGAAGTCACAATGATTAAGCTTTAAGAACTCAGGAAAAATATTCTCACCGTCTGTCTCCAAGGCTTGAGCCTCTGCTTTCTGAGAAAGGAAACTGAGAAGGCTGTTGTGAAAAGTAGCTCTGGTGTCATCTAGAGTCTTCAGATTCCCTGGTACTCCTTCAGTCTAGTGGGCATCTTTAGGAAGAAGAAAAAGATAGCTTCATCTAGTCCAAACCAGAATCTGGAATATCTTGTGAAACTGTGAAAGCTTATCCTAGTACCTTTTCTTGTTCAAGTTCGATGAAGATGTAGTCATTTGCCAGGAAAATAGGAATTGCTTTTGAATACTAGTTCAGTTCACTGAAGAAAAGCAAGAGAGATCCTTGCTTTCTGAACAATACATTTACCTCGTAAAAGAAGATGCTTCAAGAAAATCAAGTTTGAAAAAGGTTGATAGTGCTTATTAACCTTTGTTAATTTCACATTTCTCAAGAGTGTGGGCCAATTAATTTAATTAAGTTACATCTGAAAATCTAGATCCTCCCAAAGATGTAGTTCAAAAAAGAAAAACTAAAAAGAGCAAAGAAAATAGTACCGACTGTTTCTCTCTAAACTTTCCCATTTTCTTATTATCAACCTATATAAACTTTGCAGCACAAAATTTGGTAATAAATACCCAATGTCTTATGTCCATACAAGAGTTGAAAAAGACTATTCATAGCAACTTTATTTGCAAAAGCCAAAATCTGGAAACAACCCAAATGTCCATCAACAAGTGAATGAATTATGGTAAAACCAAACAAAGAAATATTTAAACACACGATTACCATAAACAAATAGGTGGATTTTAAAATAATTATACTAGTACAGAAACCAAACAAAAGAGAATATGTAGTGTGTGGTTCCATTTGTATTAAATTCTAGAAAATGCAAATTAATTTGCAGTGAAAAAAAAAATGTATCAAGGGGTAACTGAGGATAGAGAGGTAGAAAGGGGCAGGAGGAAGGAATTATTAAGGGGCATTATCTTAATCATGGTACTAGTTTTCATGGATATATGTATATGTTAAAACTTATGAAGTTCCACCTCTTAAATGTTTGCAATTTATTAGATGTCAACTATACTTCAACAATACTGTAAGAGAATATCAAATGCATTAAATGTTACATGACCCTTGATGCAGCAATTCCAAGTTTAAAATTTACTGTAAAATCTACTGCCACTGAGTCAATTCTGTCTCATAGCAATCCTATATGGCAGAGTAGAACTGCCACATACGGTTTCCAAATCTGTAAATCTTTATAGAAGCAGACTGCCTCATCTTTCTCCTTTGGAGCAGCTGGTAAGTTCAAACATGATCTTCTGGTTAGCTGCCAAATGCTAACCACTGTGCCACTAAAGCTCCTTAGAATTTATTCCAATGAAGAAAAATATAAAGGATATTCATAAGTCTTTAACCATAGGATTCTTATTACAAACATTATTTCCAATAAAAAGAAATAAAATGTCACTAAATGTAAAACTCAAAAAATAGGTACTCATTATTTATAAATTATGGTATATCACATAGTAGAACAGTATGTTATTTACAATATTATATAAAAAATAAGTTACATAAAATGATATATTGCCACTATGTTCAGCATAATAATTTGTTTTAAACTATACAAATACAAATATAGTGATTATTTCTGAATTGGGGGGAGATTTTTATTTGTTGATTCATATATTCTAATTTCTCTAAAATAATCATGTAGTACTTTTCTAACAAGGAAAACAAAGGATGAAAAGAACAGCAATCTAAAACGGTCCACTCCTTAATACAAATAATAAAGCAAACATTCCTGTAAGACACTGCACATTAACAAAGTTCTGGACTGTCATGCCATCCCCACCGATGACCTACCAAACAATTGTGGAAAAGGGGCAAGTGTGACAAGATAAACTGGAGTAATAATTAAGTGAACTACATGCTTCACCAGTTACAAAGCATTTTCATAACCATGACCTCATCTGATATTTGTAACTGAGTGAAGTGAGCACAGAAGAAAGTATCCCATTTTATAGAGGGCAAACAGATATTATGCAGAGCTTCATATGTAAAATGTTCCAAATTACAGATCCTGGACTCAACAGAGCCTTGACAAAATTAGTACAAAAAAATAGTACTGACGGTTTCTCTCATATTAAACCTTCCCATTTTCATAATACCAACCTATTAAACTTTGCAGCATTTGGTAATAAATATCCAATGTCATATGTCCATACAAGAGCTACAAAAGACTATTCATAGCAACTTTATTTGCAAAAGCCAAAATCTGGAAACAACCCGGATGCCTATCAACAAGTGAATGAATTATGATAAAATCAAACAAAGAAATGTTTAAACACACAATTACTATAAACAAATAGGTGAATTTTAAAATAATTATACTAATACAGGAAGCCAAACAAAAAAGAATATGTAGTGTGTGGTTCCATTTGCATTAAATGATAGGAATTCTAAGATGAGTAGAGAACACTTTCCCCACATACTTGTAACTAAACGGCAACAAAATTCATATGTGAATTAAAAAATAACTACATTCACAATTGTACTAGTATTCTGAATGTACCCAGGACTTTGGAAATTTCCTAAACCCGCAGATCTCCATTTCTGAAGTCAACCTTGTCTTGTCCTTTTCAATACTACCTACCACACCATTCAAATACAAGTAGAACTTAATTATATTTATTTTCTTTTTATAGGAAAAAAATCAATTACCTTTTAAAGTTGGAACAAGAAAGTAATCATAACTGTGTTTTTAAATACTACATAAAATGACCTACAAATTAATGTCAAAAGACCTAACTTGATGGGGCTTTAAAATACTACCTTCTAGAAAGTCTTTTTTTGGTTAATGTGGTATAGTAAATTACTTTGTGTCTCTTTTCTACCCATAAGTCTTTGTAAACTCCAAGGTGGGATTTGCTATGAGCAACTGAGGAGCTCCTGATTGCTGAAGTTGTCCACCTGGAGTATTTCTGTTGGGAGTGGCACAAAACAATGTTCTGGGAGGTGCCCACTCTCTCTCAGGTGCTTAGAGTTCTGATACTGTAATTGGCTAGTTTGACCACCCTGCCGGGCTCAAAAAGGAGACCTCCTGGAGGCAGAACTCTCTCGGGCTGCTGGTCGAGGAAGACTTGCTGCTGAAAGAGACACGGGCTCCTGAGACACGTGTTGCTGGGAAAGAGACGCAAGAGACACGCACCCTGGAAAGAGACTGTGAGAGACTCTTGGCTGAGGGACGGTGGGCTGGGAGAGAAACTGAGCATTCTTCCTGAACTTGAGTTGTAGACTGGTGCTTCCCTAATAAACCCTGTAATCTGTGAGTTCTGTGTGGCCACTGCAGTGAATTATCGAACCCAGGAGAGAGGTGGTGGGTGCTTTGGGAGGAATGGTTGGTGAAAGGGCTGGAGGGAGGCAGCATGTTTGGCCTTGCAGTAATAGGCCTTGGGTTACTGCTGTCTTCCTCTTGTGAGATTAGAGGAGGTCAGAACATGTGGCCTCCTTGCCGTTTTAGCAGTTAAAACAAACAAACAAACAAAAAAAAACCCCTACTGCCTTCGAGTCAGATCCAACTCATAGCAACCCCTCCTTGGGTTTCTGAGGCAATATCACTACGGAAGTCGATTGCCCAACCTTCCTTCCAAGGAGTGCTTGGTGGGTTTGAACCATTAACCTTCTGGTTAGCAGTCAAATGCCTTAAGCATTATGCCACCAAATGAGTCTCCAAACAGTGAAGAAAACCAGCAATCCCTGACAAGCGTAAAAGGAAACATCTTCAGAGGAACATTATTAACAGCTGGTCAGAATCTGCTGATGACTCCTTAAAGAATAAGATACCCATACAGGTACCACTCTTCCCCAAACTACCAGAACTATGAGATACTTAGCAAGAAATGACAGCTACTGCTTACTGTGTAGTGAATTATGTGTCAGACACTGCCCTAAGACCTTAACATTTTACAAATTAACCTCCTTTAATTTTTATACCAACCATGTATGTTGTTATTGTTAGATGCCGTCGTGTTGTCTCCGACTCATAGCGACCCTATTCACAGCAGAACGAAACGCTGCCCAGTCCTGTGCCAGCTTCATACCAACCACATGAGATGGCTATTATTCCCATTTTACAGATGAGTAAACTGAGTTTAGGCATCTCAAATCACAAAGCTAATATGGAGTTGAAGAAGAATTCAAACCTTGGTATATTTTACTTTGAAAAAAAAGAGGAGGGTGACTTCAGCAGTTCTCTGGAACATAAATTCTGATTTTTCTTGAGCACTATCCACCACCATTCAGGTAGCCAAAAATACTTGGTATTAGTCTATACAGTTCACGAGTCTACATTTTCCTTAAAAATAGTTAAAAATACCCCAAACTCACAAGTTATGTCTAGTATTTGCCACATGCTAAAATTCTTTATTTTAATCATCTGTCTCTATTAAGAGAAGGGAGCTCTGGTGGTGCAGTGCCTAAGGCATTTGACTGCTAACCAGAAGGCATTAAAGGGAAAGCATTCGAGTGGTGTAGTGGTTAAGGTATTTGGCTGCTAACCAAAAGGTCCAGCTGCTCTGCAGAATAAAGATGGTGTGTTCTGCTTCCATAAAGATTTATAGCGTTGAGAATTCAATAGAGGCTGCCATGAGTTGATAACTCAATGGCAGTAAGTTTGGTTTGAGTCTATACCCTTCATGAAGGAGCCATGGTAGTGCAATGGATAAGCAATCAGCTGCTAACTGAAGGATTGGTGGTTCGAACCTTCTTGTGGTTCCATGGGAGCAAATGCCTGGCAATCTGCTCCCATAAAGATTACAGCCTAGAACACCCTATGGGCAGTTAGTTCTTCTGTGTCTTATCGGGTTGCAATGAATTGGAATCAACTTGACAGCATGGCATACAACAACATACTCCTTTTAGAGCTGAATATCTGACAATGTGTGAAAGATAAATTAAAAGGATATTTAAGTAACATAAATTAACAAAGTATAAATTACTTACAAAGATAAAAATATTTTCAAATTGTCTTATATTAATAAATAGATAAATTAACTTTAAATCCTAGACAATAAAATTGAACCTCACCAATATGTTTTGAACCATAAAGGCAAGAACCATGTCCAGGAATATAAAAACATTTAAATAACCTTG